GACTCAGGAATGGGGCTTCCAGTCACTGAGATGACTGGACAAGCTCTAAAAATGCCACATCACTGTAGAATATGAAAACAAAACAAAACAAAACAGCAGTCCACACACAGACACAGAGAAGTGACTGGTGGTTACCAGAGGGGAGGGGCTGGGGGAGGTGCAGTGGGGGGAGGGGGATAAAGGGACAACAATTCACAGTCACAATATAAGTTGATCACAGGGACTGTTGAGCCACTGTGATGTACATCTGAAACCAAGATTGTATATTAATGACATTGTAATAAAAATAAAATGCCACATCATTGATGCAGAGGCAAATGGCATTACTAAGAAAAAAAGGTAGCTGCAATACTATCTGATCACCACCTTTTTTAAAGAAAACAAGACTTTCATTACATGCACAGAAAAGACAGAAAAATATGCCCCAAACATTCATATTTTTAATTTTCCATTTTTGACCCCTTTTTTCCCCTAAATTTTCTACAATGAAAGTAATTCTTGTAAAATAAAGGGAAAAATAAGGTACATGTCTACAGACACACACCTCCTGCCCTCGTGGAGCCTACAGCCCGGCAAGGATCCCGAGGACTGTGTGCCTGTCTCCAAACTGCAGACTTGTCTGTCCCAGGCAGGCACCGGGCTTATCAACCTCGAAGCCATCAACAAGGGTGGTGATATTAGCAGGCAGGACTGATAGAGAGCCGAAGGCTGAGACCCTCAATGCCTTGGTCCGGCCTCAAGGCCCCACAGTGGGCCCAGCGGGGAGGCTCCCAGACCGTCTAAGGAATCCTGCCACCACGTCCCCTAAGGGTCCAGTGGGTCCCAAAGATCTGAGGCTGGAGGAGCGGTCTCATTTGAGGGGCCCCACACAAGAGGTCCCAAATACTCCAGAACACCACACAGCCCCTGCCCAACAACCCCATGGCCCTGCAGGAAGACCCCAAAGGAGGACGGAAGCAGGACCCTCGGCTCCCCGCTGGCGCTGGCTTCCTGTCTGCCCAGGAGGTGAGTAATGTCCGCTCCCCACCCCCATCCATCCCTTCTGGAGGCCAGGCCTCACATTTTCCGTTCAGGAAGGGGCAGAGCAAGAGGCCTGGTGAAGCACATTGGGGAAAATGCAAGGAGTGGGGTCCTCGCCAGGCCCGCCAGCCATGGTGCAGACTGTGACCTGGCTACTTATCTGACGTTCGGGCACCCTGCTGGCCCATCTGCCTGTGTGCATGTCCTCATCCACTTTTTCATTCACTCACTCATCTAGCAGACCCTTCCCCCACACCGGCTCTGTGTCAGGCCCTGTGCTGGGTGCTGGAGTCTTCTTAGCTCTCAGGGTGCCTATGGGATCTGGGGAAGAGATGGCATTGAACATATCCCATTGACGGGGTATAATTCTAGACTGATTTGCTGTTTGGTCCCAAGTCAACGCCAGATCCCAGTGCCTTTGGATGAAATCTCAACATTGGCTTCTCTGAGGTGTCCTCTGTCTACCCCCAAAAAGCAGCCCCCAGACCACAGTGTTTTTCCAGGCACCTATGATGTGCACCAAGCTTTGCACTCAAAGCAAAGTCGAAAGCCTCAGCAGGTACTGTGCACGGACAGGAGGCCACGGTGGAGCAGCTGGATGACTCTGGGCCCCAGGAAGCCGCAGCCAAAGGAGTGAGGCAGGAGGCTGCCTCTGGTTCCCAGACTCCCCACCCATCTTCTGGGGAACCGTACACACGGCCCACGCCCACCAAAGAAGAAACAGGAGGGCAGCTTGGCACCTGCTCCTGACTCTGGTCAGATCGCCCAGACTCTCTCCCTGATCCTCCGCGTTTCCCCCGTGAACCAGGGTGAGAGCGACGTGCTGTAACCCCCATGAGGAAGCACAAGTGAATGGTGCCTCTGGCCAGGTATGCGCTGCTGTGATTTCAGGGCAGCAGGAACAGGACCCATAGAAGAGATCTGCAAGGGGAGGCCTGCAGGCACCATCAGGCCCGATGAGGTGCTTGGAGGGAACCTACAGCCCCGCTGCAGGACAAGCACACTCCCATTCCCAACAAAGGAGTGACATCAGAGACGAGCGCCAGAGGGCGAGGGCTGCCATGCCCTTAACTCATTCCTGGTCTCAGACTGGCACCTGCCCTGCCAAGGCCCAGCCTTCATCTGCCTTTGTTAACACTTGAAAAGGAAGGAGGAAAAGGAGGAGATGGAGGAAGAGGAGGGCCCCAACACATCCACCAACAGGTGTGAAGGCAGCTGTCTGGCTTCCTGACGTGCTTCTGGGCTGCATTAGCTGCCAGCAGGGATGGGATGCTCCTGGTACAGCCTTGGGAATCTCCACACCTTCTGGCTAAGGGCAAAGCCCCAGGTGCTCAGATTGGGGAATGTCCTCAAGAACAAAGAACCCAACTTGTCCCCAAAAAGGGGTGGACCTCTGAGTGGTGTGCTGGGGGAAGATATCAATAAATGATTGTTCCTTTATTCACTCAGGCAACAAATATTAAACAGACTTCTATAATGTGCCAAGCACACAAAGGGAGTCACTGAGGATAGAGCCGAGAGCAAGATCAACACAGTCCCTACCTCAGAGCTCACAGTGGGGACCTCAGACATCATCTTCCCAACTTGCCACTTCCAGGGAGGACCGAGGACCAGAGACCACACATTAAGCCACTGCAGAGGGCTGTGGCTAGGTACGGAGTTTAGGACCAACCAGAGCCACTGCTGCCTGGCCTGTCTGGACCCCAGTCCTTCAATAACAGGGTACATGAGAACACCCTGCAGCCCCAGATGGTCTTGCATCTGACTTACTGATGGGAGTGGAGTCTCAGCGTATGTCTGCACTGTTAGCACCTTTAGAGAGACGGCTGCTGGCTGCATGCCACTCTGGGTGCTGGACAGGACTCCTGGCCAGGTCTGTGCCCAGCCAAAGCCCTTTGGGAACCCACTTCTCTGGATAGACACACCAGTGACCAACAGATTGAGGACCAGAAGGGGCAGCAGAGACCAGACCAGCCAGCTGGGCCTTCTCAAGGCCTGAGACTCCCTGCACTGGGTCTAAGTCAGCCTCTGGCCAGCACATCAGCCCAGTCTCCAGACACAGCCTCTGATTAAGTAATTAAATTGATGTTATCACGGACACCACCATCCTCCCTGCCTCCAGCTCTGGCTGCCCGCCCTCATAAACACTCATGTACTGTCAGCAGGCCAGCCTGCCTCCGCCCCTACACCCATGGCTAGGAGGGGCCTAGGCACCAGAAGGTGGGGAGACATGCGTGATCACACCCAGGTCGGCTCCCCTGCTGAGCTCCATGGCACCAGCTGTAGGACATGTTGACCCCACCAGCTCTTTGCTTCATCTTCGTGATCAGCCAAGCCCCCAGGGGGTGGGGCAACTGATGCTGAGGAAGCCCCATGACCCCATAGAAACATTCACTTCTGCTACCTGAGCCTGGAGGCCCCCAAATCATCAAGTTTCCTGGGAAGTGTTTCAAATAGGTATCAGACCCCCAAAAGGTGGTTGTGAGCAACAATAACAAGACTTTTTCAAGCATGAATTTGGGGGGATCATGGCCCCATTTAGTCCCACTACACTGGGTTAAGAGAACATTCTGGATTCTTCCTGGGAAGGTATAACCGACGCCCTTGGCTGAGCTCTGCTGGTGTGGCTTTGGGTGTGGCCCTCAGTAGGCTCAGATGAGAAGGGAGATCAGTTGCTGGACACTTCTCGCAGCCCCAAGGCCCCCAGAGGCATATGGTTGCCCCTGACCTGCATCCCCGCCCCAGGGAACACTGGGAGCCAGCGCTGGTCTGGGAGGCTTGCAGCATGAGGGGGTCCTGCTAACCTCACGGGGCATCAAGGCACAAAAGCCTTTTCTTTCCCACCAGCCTTGCACCCCAGTCCTTACAGAACCACCCCTGGGCTCCCCAGCCCCTGGCCCAGCCATCCCAGCTGCCTCTAGGCTAGGTTTCCTCCCAGACAAAGACAGATTCAAGCCTGAGTCCTGCAAGGGCAGTTGGGAGGCAGGCGCTGGTTCTGCCATGGAGACGAACTTTGACCCAAACCGCAAGGCTCCTACCCCTTATTTACTCTTTAAGGCTAACCCGTTTCAGAGTTAACATTACACCCCTTTTTAAACCTACACCTCCCTCCTGCATTCCAGACCCTGACCTTCAACCCCTCCTAATTGCTGGCTCTACACCCCAGTTCTCTGACGTCCAGCTCAAGCTCATCCCCCTGCCGCCAATCAGCTCCACCCTGGAAATCAGAGCCTGGCCAGGGACCCTCTGACCACAGATGCCACCCAAGGCCCACAGCTGCATGTAACTGAGGCAGGCATTGGAGCCCCAGAGCCCAGCCCTGTTGAGGCTCCCTGGGGGACTCTGGAGGAGACCACTGGGATCTGACTGTGCACCCCACTTCTCCCACCCCAAGAAGGAGCCTCTGCTCCAAAGGAAGCCGAAGGAGGCTGCCCAGTGGGCCCTGGAGGACAGTGGGGGCCAAGGCTGGGGAAGAGGCTAGCAGCAATTCAGCCAGGCCACATCTCATCCCAAGGGGCTGGGGGCACACAGTGGACAAGTGCACTGCCTGCTTGCACACAAGGTGACCGGCAGGGACCCTGTCCTACAGCCTAATGTCGAGCCACAGAAACCCAGCTCTTGTCTTCTCTGCTGGGCATCTGGACTGTCCTGAGTCAGGCACACTGTTAACCTTCTAGACTTGAATTGTGATGACTTTTAAATCCATATCCAATCATCTTGTAAGCATGAGGGCAAACAAACAGGCACGATGCAGCTCCAGTCCCCGAGAGCTCAGTGCATTTGCCTTCAGGAGGACCTGCTCACCCTGGAAGCAGGCTCAGGCATCAGGGCCCACAGAGATACCGAGAACTCTACGGGCAGCTGCAAACCTGGGCCTGGTCCCCCCAGAGGCCCCAGCCCAGATTCCGTCACCCCTGATATTCCTAGGTCCCTGCAGTTGGGCGCAGTCCATCCCCCACTGGCCGCCAAGGGACACTCACCATCCTCTTGGCTGTGGAGGTTCTGTGGGCTCCGCATCCTCTCGTCCTGGCTGGGACTCAGGCTGGAGGCCAGGTGTGGGTCAGCTGACATCCATGTGGAGTCATTCATATCAAAATCTTCACTGCTCACAGAAGTTTCATCCTGATCAGGGACAAAGAAGGTAGGCGTTCAATGGGGACACTCTCTCTGCAGCCCAGAGGCAGCATTCTGGGTGAACCCCAGGGCCCAGGGCATTTGGAAGTGCCCAAAGGCCACAGGGAGCCCCAAACCCTGCAGTAGGGGCCAGCTGCTCTCCCTGGCCCCCTATGGAAGTGACTCGGCCTCTGGTTCCTGTCGGAAGCTGGGGCTGAGGACCGCGCAGTCTGTAATTGAAGACAATTATGAGGTCTTGCATCCTGTAGGGGCGGATAGCAGGGCCTGGCTCTTACCCTTGTGAGGCAAGGTTGAAACAAGTGCTGTAAACAAGGGCCACGGCTCCCTGCTCCCTGCCCACAGCCCACAGCCTGGGTTAGAGGGCTCACTGCGCACATGCCCAGGCAGCCAGGAGTGGGTAGCAGGACTTGGCGGGCACTGCCGAGGCCAAGCTCATCACCACCCCCAGGCCTGCTGCCCTGACTCTGTGGAGCATGCATGGAATTCCTGTCTCCCACTCCCCCAGCCCAGAGGACATTTCTGTCTTCATCCTTCCTAACCTTTGCTGTGCTTCAAAGATATGCTCTTGGGTGGCTTCCAGAGCTGAAAAGGCCAGCCCCAGAAGCGTGGAGAAGGAAGGGGGTGGGGCAGGCAAGGGGATCAGACCGCAAAGGGGGTTTGGCTAGAGGGCCTGGGGGGCCTCCAGGGCCTTCCAAACAGCCGGATGGCCTGCTGGAGAGGACCACACCGCCTTCCCTCCCCTCACTGGCTTCAGTGAGTCCCTGGCCAGTCATCCGGGAACCCCCGGGGTGGGGCCCCTTCAATCCAGCCCTCCAGCAGGGAGGGACCCCACCTCCTCCTTTGGGCCCAGCCTCTTTCGGAAGCAGCAAGCAACTGTGTTTGGGAGCTGGCTGTAAATCGCAAGGAAGATGACCCCACAGCTCCCACACCCTGGAGCTCTGGCTTTGCCCCCTCCTCTTTCCTGTCCAGCAAGATACAATGGCCTCTGTGGGCTCCCAGTAAGGACCTCTGGCAAAACACCCCCACCCCCAAAGGCCTCCCCTCCAGGGCCCCCTTACAGAGGTGTCTTTATAGTGAGCAAAACACACTTTGGTCTGAACTTTCTTTGGAGCCCGTCCCTGAGGCAGGCGCTTCTGCTCTCCAAGAGCCAGGGAGCCCCTGCGGATTGTCCCCCACCCCTCCCCACCACGCCCGCTGGCAGGGAGTTTCCTGGAATTTACAGCTTCTGTGCAGCATGAGTGTGTACCCTCTGCGGCTGAATCTGGAAGACACGAGCTGGGCCATGCTACCAGCTCTGCCCAGCTCAGGGGTCCCCCTGAGGCACAGCTGGAATCTCGGGGGACAGAGACCACGTGTCCTCTCTGTGCACACACGCACATGCACTCGTTCTGCCGTCCCTCCCACAGGCTGCCCTGCTCCTTATACACAAGCACATCCACCCAGTCTCCCTGCGTGAAACACGCTCACTCACATCGCCTCAGACTGTGTTCTCACACCTGGAGGGACACACACATTCAAAAGGCTCTCTCTGCACAAAGAGTACAAAGAGACAACGAAACCCTCCCCTGTGCACAGATGGAACCCCAGCATGAGCCAGGAGGCAGGCAGGGCAGGGCCGGACCCTTGGAAGCCACCCAGGCTCTGGGAGCCAGGTACAGGGGCATCCTCTCTAGGGCCCTGTGCTCCTTCCTGGCTGCCCAGGGGACACTGTGCTCAGGGTATGACCTGAAGTCATGGCTGAAGAGGAAGGCCCTCTCCTGGCTCTTGGGTATTGTTGAAACACTCATGCCCTAAGACACCAAGTATTCTAGTAACATCTGGAAGCACCACCTGACCAAAATGCTCCATCCATTCATTCAGTGAGTATTTACTGAGCTTCATTGAACCCCCTACTATGAGCCAACACCTTCCCAGATGCTGGGAAATTCAGCTGTGGCCAGTACAAGGGGGCCTTCCTGGTGCTTACTGTCCAGTGGGGGAGATAGAAAATCAGCAGAAAAACACAGAACACTAGTGGTGATGAAGGCTACAAAGCAAAAAAAAGCGAGAAGGAGGGCAGAGGGACCTGCAGGGCTGTGTATGCCAGGTGACCAGGTGGCACTGGTCTGGGAGCATGAGAGCAGAGGCCTGCAGGAAGGCTGCTGCATGGAGGGCTACACGGGGAGCCTTGTGAGTACCAGCGTATGCTGGTGGGTTTGAGGAGCAGGCACGAGGCTGATGTGGCCGGGGTGGGTGAGGTCTGGGCAGAGGAGCCACACAGGAGTACCCCCTCCCCAGGTGCACAGAGCCCGGGCAGGGCTGTCTCCAGCTCCGGGGAAGGCTGTGGATGACAGCTCCACTGAGCACACAGGGTTCTCACTGGGGAGCAGAAGAAAGCAGGACCACGGGTAAAGCACTGAAGGCTTCCACACTCTAGACTTACTCGGCCAAGTTTAAAACACTGACAGTGGCCAATGTTCATCCCGCACCAAGTGCTCCCCTTGGATTGTGTCATTTCACCCTCACACAAGCCCATCAGGTAGGTACCCACATCAGCCCCATTCTACCAATGAGAAATTGAGGCGCCAAGGGGTTAAGGCGCTTGCCCAAGGTCATGAGCTAACAAGTGGCAGAGCCAGATGTGTGCCAACACACCCTCTTTCCAGCCTCCACGCCTCTGCTCCAGCTGTCCCTGTCTCCTGGAATGTCATGCTACTGCAGCACTCCACAATCCAAATTCCAAATGCACCCCCCTCGCTGCCCTCACGGTCAATTCCAGCCCAGTCTGCTCTGCTCCTCTCTTAAGACAGTCTATACCAGTAGCCCAGCAGTTCAGCACATGCCCCTCAGCTGTAGCATGTCAACACACTGCAGGTCTCTGCCCTGCCTTTCCCCCAGAAACCCTTAAGTCCTTCCAAGAGTGGGGACCCAACCTGGATGTTCCTTGGACCCCCGACAAGGCCAGTGAGACCCATAAAATTGGCTGAATTGCCTGGCATGATGTTGGTGTTTAATGAGCATGTGGAATTAGTCTGACAATTAAGGACTCGGCCCCCTGCACACAGTCCTTGAATGGAGACAATATGAAACCTGGACTCCGGCTGGGGGGCTGGTGGCAGCAAGCTGCCTTACGATGCTCCCTCCTGCAGCTGCCAGCCACCCCACTCAGAGCCTCTGGTTTCTCTGGCTCAGACTGCTTAACTGCCCACCAAAATGACCCCCCTCCACCACTCCCTGCCCTGCCAAGTTCAATTAGGGAGAGGTGGGCTAAATCTTACATTGACATTGCAATTACCTGGTAACTAAAAGCATCCAGGGCCCACACACAAGGGGCTTTGGGGCAAGGGTTTTATGAGATTCTCTTGCAATGGTCCATACAAAGAGCAGGCACCCGTGCCAGGTCTACCTTCAGATACGGTACCTGCCCTAGCCGCTCAAGGGCACTGTAGCTAGTGGCAGAGCTGGGGTCGAAACTCAGGCAGCCCGTGCTCGGAGCCCATATCACAGTGCCACCACACCAAGGGGCTGCCTTACCACACTTCCTCCCTTCAACTGAAAGAAACAGATTTCTTAATGACAAAGTGTCTCAGGATGAGACCCAAAGGGAACCCATGGGGAGGTGAAGCTATATGTACACATGCACCCATATGTTCACTCTCTCTTCAGTGACTTGACACACACTTACTGAGCATCTACTGTGTATTGGCAGTGTGCTAAGGACACAGATGCTAAAGCAGGGTTCCTGTCCTCCAGGACCTTGTGACTAGGAAGACCAAAGAAAAATTCTGACCCACTTGTAAGTGGGCTCTGGAGCCCCCTCGGTTTTCTTCAGCCCCCAGGGTTCTGCCACATGAATCCGTCTTGTGAGTGGTAGTTCTGGCTAAGATTTTGACACTACTGCTACAGTAATTTTTTTCAAGTGAAAAATCAAGTCTATTAAATCTGACTTAAAGGAAGAAAATGCATAAGTTCTTAAACTTACAGACAGCTTCCACACTCTCACTTGCAGGGCTGATGTGGGTGAGAGCCTTCCCAAGACCCCTTTGCAAATCCACTTGATACAGCAGAGCCCCCTGCTGCAGAGGGCAGACTGTCTCTTCACCCACTCACAACCAAGCCAGGACTCCAGGAGCAGCCTAATTACACAGGCAATTACCAGCACACACAGTTCAGAGCCCATCAGCCACTGTGTAGAGGGGCGAATACAGCCAAGTCCACAGGGACCTGCAGGAGGCAGCTAGCTCAGGTTTGAGTGGCGGGGCCTCAGGCCTGTGTGCCGACCTAGGGTACTCCGCCCACCCCTCCCGTCCTCACCCAGAGGTCACAAGTTGGGCACCTCTTGCTTTTCCCTTCTGGAATCTCAACAGAATTTGGTCTACTGATTTCTTTTTCTGTAAACAAACTCGATGAAACTTCCATTAGAAAATAAAAGAATGTGCATAATCCATTACTTCTGGACCCCCCTCCCCAGATTCCATGTGACTGGCCAGCCAGCTGCCACCCACCGCCTGGCTTTTACCTCTGCCCTTGAACACCCTGAAGCCTGAAGGCTTGCCCACCTATTAATGAAAATCTATCATTTATTCAACACCAAAGGGCCTGAGCCATTATGGGTCACATGGCAATCGGGCCAACTGCCCCTTCCAAAACGGGAACTCACTCAGCGGTTTGGGGGGGTGGCTGGGAAGCAAGCAGCATCCAGCCAGTCCCTGGACACACCCCAGTCTGGGAGCCCTGACTCTGGGCAGAAGGAAAGGAGCTGACCAAACCCTCTCCGCTCTTATCTGCAGTCCAAAATTCACGGACAGGTTCAGTTTCTCTCCACCCAGGTTCTGAGGCCCTTTCCTCCTCTGCAGGCAAAACAAGCACCAGCACTGCCCAGCCCAGGAGGAGGAAAAAACAGGAGACCAGAGGGGAAATGGTGGAAATGCGCCTGTATCCATGGCATGTAACTAGGGGCAGGTGCTATCAGTAACCTGATTATTTTACAACTGGGGTCAATTTCTCGG